GCTCCTCTAAGAAAGCGGGTAAATGCAAAATAGTTGGTGTTAATCCAAAGCAGAAGTCCATACAATACAAAAACACAAAGCAGCCAAAATATCTTACAGGGTGGTCACCACCTGGTACTTTGTAGATAATTAAATCATTTAGAACTTTGGAGGTGTTAACCTGAAACATTCTATCGACGAACACGAGGGTTGGCCTCAGAATGCAGCTCTGAGCAAACGAGGCAAGAAGTAGACCTTAGCTATCGCTCACTGATTATTGGGTACATTTCAGTCAGGCTCATTAAAGAACTAGTCCTTCAAGTTTGCATTTTAGTATTTTATACCTACAAGTTGTCGGATTTGAGTTTATTGTGTTACTGAAATGTAGTAAACTTTATGTCTATGTCTGAAGGATTGAGGCTGAGTTGGTGAAAACTTCACTTTAACAATTAACTAATTCAATGAGCTCTTCATCAGATTATTGATAGTGCAGACAGCTTCCCACCCAGGAATAAATGTAGAACGTTTTGGCACAGTATTTGTAAATGACTAAGAGAAAATAAGAGTTGGTGAGGTTTAGGAGAAGCCAGAGAGAAGTAGATCATACAAACATAGAATCAGTACAGTGTGGAAGCAGGCCATTTGTCCCATCTAATCCACATCAACCCTTTAAAGAGCATCCCACCCAGACCCACCCCCCAACCCTGCGTTTCCTATGGCTATCCACCTAGCCTGCACATCCCTGGACACTATGGGCAATTTAGCATGGCCAATCCACTTAACATGCACATCTTTGGCCTGCGACAGGAAACTGGAACACCCAGAGGCAATCCACGGGGGAGAGTGTGCAAAATCCACATAGAAAGTCACCCAAGGGGGAATCAAACCCGGATCCCTGATGCTGTGAGGCTGAGCTACCGTACCGTACCTATGAAGATCTAATTAGAAGTTTTAAAACTTTGATGGTTACTGGTTGGAAAATATATAAAAGTTACTTCAATTGTGGTAGATCCAAAGAGTTTATAGTACAAAATTAAGCTGCTAAATATTTGGGAGAAACATGACGTGATTAGAATAAATCATTGTTTCTAAATGACTGTGTTCAGCCAATCTTTGAAGGCATAATAAAATAAATAAAGGTAATACATTGGATGTCAGTTATGTGTACTTCCAAAATCATTTAAGGTTCTGTATCACAGACACGGGGCCTAACTAGTTTCAGTGGCTAGTGTGTTGTGTAGAAAAATGCCAAAGGCGTATATTTGATTCTTGTTTCAGCTGACATGGAGTTGGGGCCTGTCTCCTTGCCTTACCCCAGAGAGTTGAAGATAATAGTAAACCATCACTGGAAAATACTGCTAAGAAAATAGCATCAGCAGACAAGGAGCCTGCTTTTGTTTAGAGTGCATGAGACATGACATAAAAACTTAAGAAAAAGATGCTGGTATTAAGGAATTTGTGAATGCATTGAACTGTTGATAGATAGCCAGCAATTTAGCAGGAAAAATGAGATTTCTCAGTATAAAACAGCGTGATGGATGGCATAACACAGGGATCTTGAAAAGTGAAGGGTTAGGATGATATCAAATTGGGGCATAGAGCCAATTTTGGAAGATGGCAGGATGAGTATATAGGTGGCAAATGCAGTTCCATGTTCAACATTATTGTATTATTGTATTATTCAATCATTTTAAAACTATGAAGCTTTTTAAAATAAGAGGAACAGCAGGATCTTTGTGTGCATATGCACAGGACAATTGAAACTGTTAGAATACATATGCATAACTCCACAAAAAAGTAATCAGAACTCTGCAACTGGAACATATAAAATTGGTTAAAGAAATAGCCTGCTGATTTATGCTGGTTCATTGTCTATTGTCTTGCATGTAGATCCCAGTTGAAGCTCCCTTTCAAGCTTTCTGTCTTGTCTTCTGCTGAGGAGGCAAACACAGTGAAGTGAACTGTTGATTGGGGGCCCAGTCTCTGTTTTTGTATTTCATTAAAAGATTGGGGACATGTTAGAAATGTTTTGTTCAGCAGCAAAATAATAAATCACCTTGAGGTTGAACTAGTTTTTTTTTGAAGGACACATGGAGCTGGTCTAATTCAGTATCCCTTTTTCATTTCAAATCTGGAATTCACTTTAGGTGAATTGGAATTTAGACCATTGCTCCATAAATAGAAGCTGGACAGTGAGGTCCAAGGGATTTTCAAGGTGACATTGGTCTCTTTCTAGGATGGTGGTTTTGTTATCATTGGGGTCTCTTAACCATTACCAGATTTCTGTGGGATAGGTTTGGCACAGATGCCCTGGTCTCCTTGCACAACCATTTTCCTTTAATATCAAAATTCACCCAATTTACATGAATAGAAATCTAACCTCAATCTGTCTAAATGTCATCTGTATATCCTGAATGGCAGAGGGATTGGTAATTAGAGAATCCCACATCGAATAGTAATATTAGATGTTTAATCTAGTCATCATTGATGCTCAAGGAAAGTCAGACTCAGTTTGAAGATCTGGGTCTTAGCTGGTGGTGATAAGACTATGGGATGAATAGAAGGCCTTTTTATGTAGAAAGGACTCTTGTTGTCAGAAATGTTTCAGGTAGGATGGTGGCAGAGTTTTATTAGAATAAATGTAACTGCCAGGAATAGGGCCTAGTGTATTATCATACATTTAAATTTGGGAGTTGATGTCCAATGGAGGCCAATAAGATAATGTGGGAATGAGTTAGAGTATTCTGTGGACTTACTCTTACAACAGGAAGTTATCTACTGTCCAACTATAAGATGGACATGCTGGTTTCTTGATCTTCAAGGATACCAATGTTCTGGATGGTCATTGTGGTGATCTCAGTGTTCAGGGTTATCCCTTTATTAGATTTACCTTGGGACTTATATTACCGTTGCCTCCAAATCATCTTTGTACTTAACAACCCCCAGATTTTTAATTCATGAGCACAAAAGCATTGATTATTGGAGGAGCTCAGAAAGCCTGCCAGCATCTGTGGGCAGAAAGCTGAGTTAAGTGATCCTTTTTAAATCACTGTTGTCCCTGAGATGTTACATTCATGTTTAAGGAGCTCCATTTGCAGTGCAAGACCTCAATAACTGTCAGAAAGTTTTTGCTGAGTTTTATAATTGATGTCCTTCCACCTTAATTACCTTCTTTATGGACCACGTTTTTCGCCTGGTCAGTTTTGAACGGCAGGCAGCTGTGGCTATGCTGTGACCTAATGCTGAATGAGATTTGCTGTGGTGCTTGATCTGAATGCTTTCTGTCAATGGTTCTGATGTTGGCTGGTAGTAAGAAATTGAATGGTCATCCCCTTTCTCAATGTAGAGTTTGGTGAGTTGGCTCTCGAAAATGGATATTTTTTTGACTAAGGCTGAAAAGGGGCAGGGGATCCTGGTCTTTTTAGACTCTAGGGGAGATAGTGAAATTTGCCAGCAATAGCATGCTGCTTCTTTGCTTTCTTAAAATGGCTGCAAGATCTGTGAAATTCCAATGGACTAACAGTTTAGAATGGAATTGGTGTAGAATACTGACATGAATAGAGAACTAGTTGGCAGACAAAAAAAAATACAAAGAGTAAGAATAAACAGATCATTTTCTGAGTAGCAGCAAGTGACCAGTGGAGCACTACAGGGATCAGTGCTTGGACTCCAGCTATTCACAGTATATATTAATGATTCAAATGAAGGAACTAAATGTAATATCTCCAACTTTGGTAAGACACAAACGTGCATGGGGAGGTAGACTGTGATGAGGATGCAGGGATGCTTCAGTGTGATTTGGATATGTTGAGTGAGTGGGCACATGCATGGCAATGAATTCAATGTGGATAAATATGAGGTTATTCACTTTGGTAGCAGAAACAGGAAGGCAGACTATTTGAACTGTGATTGATTGGGAAAGAGGGAGTGGTAATGGGACCTAGGTGTCCTTGTACATTAGTCACTTAAAGTAAGCATGCAGGTGCAGCAGGCTGTAAAGGAGACAAATAAAATGTCGGCCTTCATAGCAAGAGGATTCAAGTACAGGAGCAGGGATGTTTTGCTGCAATTGTACAAGGCTTTGGTGAGACCATAATTGGAGTATAGTGCGCAGTTTTGGTCTCCTTATCTGAAGAAGGATGTTCTAATTCCTGGGATGGGATGACTAATGTATGAAGTGAGATTGAATCAGTTAGGACGATATTCACTAATGTTTAGAAGAATGAGGGGAGAATCTTAGAGAAACCTATAAAATTCTATTAGGACTAGACAAGGTAAACACAGGAAGGATGTTCCCAATGACTGGGGAGTCCAGAACCAGGGATCACAGTTTAAGGATACGGGGTAGACCATTGAGGACTGAGAGGAGGAGAAGTTTCATCATCCAGAGGGTGGAGAGCCTGTAGAGTTTTCTATCAAATAAAGCAGTTAATGACAAAACATTGAATGTTTTCAAGAAGGCATTAGATATAGTTATGAGTTGGGTTTCGGCCGGGTTCTCCAGCTTCCTCCCACAGCCCAAAGGTATGTGCTGGTTAGGTGGATTGGCCATGCTAAATTGCTCATAGCATCCAGGGATGTGCAGGCTAGGTGGATTAACCATGGAAAATGCAGGGTTATGGGGATATGGTGGAAGGATTGGATCTGGGTGGGATGCTGTCTGGAAGTTCAATCCAGACTGAATGAGCCAAATGGCCTCAACCTGCACTGTAGAGATTCTATGATTCTTTGCTTAGGGCTAAAGGCATCAAAGGCTATGGGTGAAAGTTGGAACAGGCACTGTGTAGGGTTGATCACCCACGATCATATTGAATAGAGCAGGCTGGAACGGCCAAATGGCATTCTCCTGCTCCTATTTTTCAGGTTTCTACTTTGTAAAGGAACGAATCTGAGGATTGGTGCAAGGCTGTTTTTCTGGCATACAGTGAGAGTGCTGGGAATAGCAACAGTGAATGGATTTTGAGACTTTTGGGCCAATCATGCTTAATGCATGTTGACTTTGTCTGATGTGTCTTTTTCAGGCTGGTTATGATTCCGGATATCTTTACCATTGTGAGTTCTCAGATGAAGAGAGAATTAATGAGGATGATGTCATTAATAAGGAAGAACCATTCGCTTTCTTGGCCATTGAAGATGCAAGTGAAAATTCAATCAGACAAATGATTTTCAAGTAGGCCAGTTTACATGCTATAAAATAATTCGTCTGTTAAGTTCCTCAGCATCTTAAAATGTATAGCTCAAAGCTGTACACAGTATTTCAACAGTGGACTTACTAAGATTTTGTACAGATTCACAATTTCTTTATTCTGCATCAACAGCAATATTTATTTAGCACTTTTTAACACCAGGTCACAGAAGAAGATATTTAGACATGCTTGGCTAAAGATAGGTTTTGTAAAGGCCCTTAAAGTGGGAGAGAGAAGTCAGGGCAGGGAATTCCAGAGCTCAAAGCATTGCTGCCACTTGCATGCATAATTCTCTGATAATGTGAATATGGAGTGTGGATGAAAATCAGGAAGTGGAAGGGTCTCAATAGGTGATAGGACTGAGGAGGTTACATAGATAGTGACAAGTGAGACCATGCAGGGATTTGAGAACTAGCATTTTAAATGGAGGCATTTTATACTAAGAGCACAGGGGCATTGGATGAACAGGACATGGACAGCAGAGTTTTGGATAAGTTCAAATTTATGGGAAGTGCAAGGTAGGAGACCAAACAAAAAACCATGACAGAAGTCTTAATTGAGCATTTTAACTGTGCAGGAATTGAGAAGAGGGGAGACAGATAATACTGGGGAGTTAGAAATACATGGTCTTGATGATGGAGGGATGTTGAATTGGAAACTTAGTTATTAATCTCCTGTTTGGTACCTTGTGAAGTACTGCTTAAAGTCCCTATCTAATGATTAATGCATTATATGCATCACCTCCTGTAAGAACTGTCAGTGGTGCCAAACATGATTTTCCTTTCTGATACCGGCAGCAATGCTTCTAATTATTTTCTCACTTTCTGGATATTTCATAATTTCATTTCATAATATGAAGGTAAACTTTTAATTATCTGTGTTAGCTCTTAAATGTTGTGTTAGTTCTTAAATGTGGGAACTGCAGTGATGTTAACCAATTCTCCAGCATGCACCTACTGTCAATAGAACTCTGAAATCTAAGCTCTAGAGTCTCTACTGTACCTTCCCCTCCTTTCTATTAGGATCTTTGAATATATTTCTCCTTTTCCCAATCAACTTGCATTTCCTAATCTCTCCTACTCTCTTTTCTTTCACTGCTTCTCTGTCCCCAGGGAGACGACATTCAGTAATATTTGAGAATCTCAATCGTAAAAATATATCTATCTCATTGATAGGATTTCTGCAGAAGGATCTTGACCCGAAGCATCAGCTTTCCTGCTCCTCTGATGCTGCTTGGCCTGCTGTGTTCATCCAGCTTTACACCTTGTTATCTCTATCTCATTGACTTTTCTTATCACCTACTTTTCCATTCTCTGATTCTCATACCCTTAGGTATAATCACTTGAATTGTTTCCAAATATCTTCTAACTTTATGATTAAGTTACTGCATGCATCTAATGGAGTTCTTACATTGTTACCTGTATGCAGCAGACTTTTGGATATTGAGAACAGATTGTTTAACCATTTAAAAGCTTGTGCATCCGTTAAATGATCATAAAATCATGCAAATTCCTGACAGCTCACCAATGGTCAATTATATCCTTATTTTTCAAACTACAGTGGTTTTCCAATAATTCAACATTTTATGTAAAGTTATGAATAAATCTCTAATTTTAAAGTTTGGGATATTCATAACATTTAAGAAAAAGAATCCAATTAGAGTGATGGGCCAAGTGATGTGTGCCCTCAACCAAAAGGCTCACTGCCAGATGTTCTTCTCTTTGATAGTTGAAGAAAACAATGGTTTTCTTTCTCCTTATTGGCTTCATACTGTCACAATTTGTCCTTCCTGTTAACTGAATCTACGTTGTGCTTTCTGTTCCTGATGACAACATTCTTGCTCTTTGCATTTATAGCATGTTTAACCACATTATTAATATTTACTAATAATGCAAAGATAAGTTGGTCAAAATGCAAAGGAGGAGTGTGAGGGATTTCAGAAATAGGTCATCAGTATAGGCAGTTAGTTGGAAACTGCCATTTAATATTGAGAAGTACACCATGATGTATTTCAGGAGGCGCAGTCAGTAATGGGAACACATTCAAAAGAAGGATCTTGAGGCACAGAGAGATTGAGGTTCAAATGTGTAATTCGCTGATAATATGAATCTAGATAGACACTTTTTAGATAAAGGATGTTAGCACTTTGGATTCTAAAACAGTGTAATAAAGTGTAAGAACGCATGTTAATGATAAATTTACCACAATCACAGTTATAGCACTGTGTTAAGTTTTAATCGCTCTATTACCAGAAAGGACATTAAAGCATTCAAGAGCAAATAGCCTAACCAATATGATTCTGTAATGGAAATCTATAGTTTATGAGGAGAACATGAGATGTTGGGATTAATTTGACAAGGCGGCTAAATGGTGATTTAATCACAAAGATTTGGTGCAGTGAATAGGGAAAGAGTATTTTACTTGGCTGGGGAGTCAGTCACGAGAGGTCATCAATTAATAATTGTCACAAAAAGAGAGTGGGGAGACTTGAAGAGATTTTTCAAATATTGTTAAAATGTGGAATGCTTACCAAAAGAAGTAGTTGAGGCAAAGACTGCTATAATCTTTTAAGCCGTGATGTGGAGGTGCCATTGTTGGACTGGGGTGGACAAGATCAGAAGTCACACAACACCAGGTTATAGTCCAACAGGTTTATTTGAAACTATAAATTTTCGGAGCTCTGCTCCATCGTCAGGTGAAGGCAACCGTTTTAGGAAGAATTAATGGATGTTTGAAAAAGAGAAAGGTGAAGAGCAAAAGAGTGACAGTGAGGTAGTGGAATTAGTTTGGGATTGATACAGGGCTTTTGGTGAAAATGGAACAATGGGTTTAGATTTGGATTGATACACAGTAATGCAGGGACCATGATAGTGGGATTAGTTTTTAATTGCTTCTGTAAAGAACTGGCACAGAATGATCTGTGAACAACTCAGATCTGTGCAATTGTCATAGATTGGATTTGGATCAGTTAGGATAATGTTAAGCGCTAATGTAGTTTAATGTAAAAGAACAGAAAATGTTGAGTCTAGGGAAGGGGAGAAAGTAGTAACAACACAAGCTAAACAAAATGGTTGACAAGGTGAGAGACAGATCTGGGAAGTACTTGTGGATAGCTGCCAGAAATCAATATCATCAATTTATGCTGGTAAAGCTTTGAAGGGTATTGTGATGTTCTGTATTGAAGAAAAGAAGCTCTGAACCTTTAGGGGAACGTTAAGTGACAAGACTGGGTGAAAAAAAACTTGGTTTTTCAGTAGTTATACAAACTCAGAGACTGGAGTAGAGTTAGGAAGATATTTAGTGAGGGAATTCCAGAGCTGCTGAATTCTCGTATATCATGGATAAAGTCAAACAAGTAGGAGAAACTGATAAGATCACTCACACAGGACAGATATGAGAGAATACAGGGCTAGAAGAAGTTGAGGCTGCAAGGAGATTAATAGATGAGGAGAAAGATTATAGTCTTAACTTCACAGTAAGTGGTGAAATAAGATCACTTAGTGCTTGCTTTGAAAACTATTCACAAAGGTTTAGGGATTTCAGAGAAGTCCATTTTCTTTTTTCCTATTAGTTTAAATCTAATGTCAAGTCAAGGGGACAGCTTTATGAACATCAGTAGTGATGCAATCAATGACATTAAGTTTTCACGAATAGGAAACCAGGAAGTAAAACACTTGGATATTCTGTACATATAATGTAAGATTTAGGCAATGAAATAAATTATTACAATTGGTATTAGAAAAAATTCAAGATAAACAAATGTATTTTTTAAAGCTTTGTGAAAATTTTCTTATCATCAAGATAACATTTGGTATTCCCAAATATAAAATTAGTTTCTCAGGTGAATGAGAACGTTTAGCAGTAATGATGAAGTTGGAGCACCATAACAAATCTAGTCTTTCAGTTCTGTATAACATTTTCAAGCGTGAGAGTGTCATTTTCCCCTCCCTGGAGGTGGCAAGAAGGGCAAGTGTTCGGTGAGTTGACCTTGGAGAAATGCTCACCCACCTCACAGTAAATAAGTGCTGGGTGAGAAGGTCCAGTGGGAGTGCCACTGGGTGTGTTACAGAAAGAATAGATAAGCTACATTTTGTGACCTTGTTATCTAGTTTATCTTGTTATGTATGATTGCACTCCTATAAGACAAGGACATGCAACTGCTCAAAAGTTGCTCATTTGCTTTTCTTGTTTTGCAGTTCGGAAAGAAGCCTTCTATTTTGTGGGATGGAAAATGGAGCTATTCGTATCTATCCTCTCTCATTCAATGATTATGATCTGAAATCCATGCAAATATTCTGGAGCCTGAATGCACATGACAATGAGTCTGGGCACATCAAACGAATCTGCATTAGTTATGATGATCAGTTTTTGGTGACGTGCGGAGCTGATGGCAACATCTTTGCCTTCAGTATACTTCCTGAGGAGGACATTGCTGAGTTGCTGAGAGGAAAACAAGCACAGGTGCCATCTCCCAGGGTAAGCATACCATAATCAATTGTAGGTATACACTAGGGCTCAAAACAACCTCACTAACTAACAATATTTTATTAAACAATTTTCCTCCTGAACAATTGGGTTGTTCGTTCACTGTCACAGAAGAGAAAGTCTTTTTACGGCTCAATCCCTCGTTTTGCTGCTTACCAGTTTTCTGTTTACTTCCAGGAGAAAGCTTATAGAATCAAAACAAGCCTGTCCCCTTTTAATAGGTAATCCAATAGCTCCCCTGTTAAAGAAACTATTGACTACAAAATTATGTGCATTTCACCAACGAAAGTAGAGCTGGTGAATTCACAATCACTGTTCTATCAACTATACAGCTCTTCAATAAAGTACTTTAAGATAAAGTGACACAAGACTTCATAAAATGCACCTGAATGCCTACCTTTTCAGTTGTCTGTTCATCATCTTGCAGCAGATACGTTGCAAGATAAAGTTGCAACAGTATCTGTTTGCTTTCAGACGTCACTAACTCAAAGGGCTTGAACCATAATACTTGGCCAAATGTCCACCTCATGTTTATACATCCTTTTTGTTCATTGAAGTTTGAAGTGAGAAGAAAGATCGGCAGAATGTTGACTTATAACATATTCCATATAACAAATATAACAGATATACAAGGTGTAGAGCTGGATGAATACAGCAGGCCAAGCAGCATCAGAGGAGCAAGAAGGCTGACGTTTCGGGCCTAGACCCTTCTTCAGAAAATGGAGGGAGGAGGGTAACTTCTTCAGGGTAGGCATCCTTAGAAGAGGCTTCGCAGTGGGGTTAAAATTGTTTCAGAGATAGTAGGAACTGCAGATGCTGGAGAATCTGAGATATACAAGGTGTAGAGCTGGATGAAC